CCCCCCCGGTTTTCCCACAGTTTACTGTTTAGTGACGCACACAACACAGCACACTCAGACTGACGTGCAAACCTGCTTTCCAAACTGACAGGCTTAGTGTCACATTCAATTACAGACAAAGTCTGAATGTAACATGTGAGTGTACAGAAACACGGGGCCTCGCACACACATTCGCAGGAGAGCTGTCCCATCCCCACACATTCATCATCACATCTTGAGATTATTTTACATGGTGATTATTAATGCCAGAGGCTTTCCCCCAAATAACTTATAATTGAACAGAGTTGCTGATTCCATGGTAGATTATGAAACTCCCAGATAAGGCTACCTAATAGGGAATCAAAGAGGATTGTGGGTTTCAAGTCAAGTCTAAAAATATGATTTTCTGCATTATTTGGGGATCAGAGCTTAGTTTAGTGTGTGGTGCATGTGCAAACACTCCACCGCTAACTGGTTATGCAGTCAAAATTAAAGATATTTTTATATACCTATAGTGACTTAAATTAATCAGTCTGTCACATGGGGTGTTCCCCTGTTGTTGCTGCAGCCACAGGAGTCATTTTATAGTCTGACCAGCGGGAGGTGCTACCACCTTTGTTGTAGTGCTGTCGTCTGTACTGTGACTTGTCCTGTCAGTAGTAATAATGTTATGGCTGATCTGTGTATATAACTTATAAGAGCATAATAGCATTAGTATGAAAACCACAATTATTTTAAGTTGCGAAAATAAATGACTAATCTAATTAGTCAAATTTAATACATTTAATAAATCTCTCATTTATCTCATGTGATTAGTGACACAAAACATACTGTAGGCTAAATTTCCACACTATGGTCATAGCCTATTCTGAAATAAAATAATCACTCTCATGTGGAAGCATGGAGCATTAGTTTGATGTAGAAAATGCATTGTAAACTTCTATAAAAATGGAGAGATTAAAAGTTAAAGACTGCGGTGTGTTGCAGCTGTGGTGTATTTATAAAGAGAAAAGAGGAAGAAGGCAGTTTGCTTGAAACGCCAAAACAGAAGAGTTGGGGAGGAGAAAGAGAAGAGAGTGAAAAGAAGTACAGACAGAGAGCTACAGAGACTGCAGGAGAGGAGGAAAGAAGGACAGACATAATAAACGGATAAACAGACGGAGAGTGAAGGACTTTCCAAATGGGTGAGCTTGGGTGAGGGGAAACAAACTCTGCTGCATCCTGGACAGAGAGTGAGTGAGGGAGAAACGTGACAGGAGGAGAACTGAGAAGGGTGACAGAGGGGAGAGAAGAGTTAGACAGTGGGGATCCTAAAAAAGATCCTTGGACGGTTGGCAAAATAAGAGATTTGCACTCTTCATAGTCTCTTCACTCTCTCATGACTGCATGTAACAGCAACAGCTAACGCTGATTCAGGTCAGTGGTTCCTGTTTGCTCTGTTAAAGGGGGAAGAAAAAGGGAAGAAAAGCAAACAAGGACAGGTAATAAAGAATGATGACAGATGAAAAAGAGGAATTATTTCAGAGCATGTACATGCTTTTCTGTTTCACTGTTGTAGCAGTAAGTTTGGAGTACTTTGAATAGAGGGAGTGGGGAGAGAGGGAGAGGGAGACTCAAACACCAAAAAAGGTCTGGAGTCAGGGCTGGAGAAATTGCAGGCTTGACAGATGCTGCACACCCGTGGGGAGAGAAGAATAAGGAGAGAGACAGACAGAGAGAGAGAAGGGGACTGACACACAATGACAAGCAGGACGTAAGTGACAATCAACTAGAAGCAGAAGGGGTGGGGGGTGGGGGGGGGTGTACAGTCCGAAATAGTGAGGGTGAGTTGTTCCTGTAAATGTAATTGTCAAGATACCAACCAGAGCCACTGTAAACCCAGAGGTAGAGGAACATTTCCATTCTAAATCAACCATGGACACCAGGGTTTCACTGCAACTCTAAACCAAAGGGACCCCTCAGACACCGGCTGTCATGTCGACGGGCCCTGGCCTTGGTGCACCTGACCTGTCCGAGGGCCCCCCGACCATTGGACCTGTTGGGCTCCAGACCCTGTTGGATCTACTGGTGGGCGTCTACCAGGAGTTCGACTCCTCTCCCTTTGCAAGGGAGAAGTATGTCTCTGGTTTCCTGCAATGGGGTGAGTGTTTTTTTCTTTCTAGGCATTGTTTTCTTTTATGTACCAAGTTCTTCTACTTCTGCTTGACTGACACGCAAAGCCACTGGGGAATTCCTGACAACTACACCCATATCATTTCCTTTAAATATTAACATGCTGACCTAAATCACTCTTCCTGCTATCAACATTCAATGTTTCTTGGCAACCACTCATCACACATATGACCATGCGTAGCTAAGCATACAGGTCACAGCCATTCATTGTATGAAATGGGCCAGTACTCACCGGTACTGTGTACAGGTTTTGGTTAAGTTTTTGGACCTTGGTATTTCTAAAACCCTGCGTATATCAGTGCTGGTGAGGTACTCCTAAATGCCTGCATAACTGCGTCTCCCTGTAAACACAGCTTGTTTACCACTAAGAAAACTGGGACCATTAGAAATGTCTGTGTGGTTTATAAATAACTAGCTACTAATCTTGCAAGGCAGCTGGACTAACAAGATCAAGAAATCACCCTATAATCGATCTTGTCAGACATCTAGTTATACGTTTGTGGCCAAACAGTGGTACCCCACCAATCTGCATCCTACGAGATAGTACTGGTAGCTATGGGGGGTGGGCGCTAGGTGTGACACAACTAAAAGCTGTTTAGAACAATGGTGGCTCCCATAGAGGTTAGCGTCTGTTGCTAGCATCGGTTCTATCAGAACTGGAGAGTATTTCTTCATTGAAAGAAAAGCAAAGAACGACACTGAATGCTTTTCTCTATTGAAAAGATGTTTTTGCTCTGATAGACAGATAGATCAATCACCTGCCGAGTGTTTTTTGACAATGCCTGCCCTTTTCCAAACAGTTTGCAATGACGACTTCCCAGATGTTTCTGTGTAATAAAACCACATAGCACAGTCAGGTTAAGTTCTACAGGTTGTTAAAATCCATCATACATTATGAATTACATTCATAATGTATGATTCTGCAGCTCACAATTTACAGCTGATGCCAATGTCAGTACCAAGGCAGGAAGTTGTGTCTGTTTTGGGGGTTTGACGCCCCTATTGGCAGGACAAGATCATTTGTCTGTGACTTCTAAAACTTTTATCAATTGTTGTTAGAAAAGTAAAAGTGGTTTCTGATCAGACACAGCTATGGTTTAGATTTAATTAGGTTTGAGCAGAAAACAGGTTGGGAGAGATGACAGTTAAGATTTGAGAATCATCATGGTCATGGTTAAAAGAAACTGATGTTTGCCTGTTGGTAGGAAACACAAAACAAACTCTCCTGTGTTACAGTCTGATGTTTTGTTGATCTGTCCAGCAACCCTAACCTCCCTCTGTGGACTTAATAGCTTAATAACAATGTCACACTACTTCCTCCTTTGTCTCGGTGGACAAGTTATTCGTACAAACCGCTAGAGATCTTTGTCACCTGAACGTAAACATGTGTTGTTTGGGGAGATTTGTTAAAATAAAAAAAGGTTAACAGATCAGGAGCAATACAGTGCTTCCTATTCAAAGTGTTCACAATGATACTAAACTCACCTGCACACACACACACTGACAGCACAGCCATTGGGAGCAATTAGGGGTTCAGTATCTTGTCCATGCTTATACACCAGTCAGCCATAACATTATGAGCACTGGCCATCCAACAGACAAATGTGACAAATGTGTGTATGTATGTTATATGTATGTATGTCTATACATACATACATATAACATATAATATATATTTATACCTTATCTGCAGTATTGTTCATTTTACATTGTCTCTAATAATCTCATGCACAGATGAAGCTCTGCCACATGCAGGGTTAGGATTCTTTTCTGTCTCAGGGTCACACGAGACCATGAATGCACATGGAGGCATTTGGGTCAAGCAGAAGGGCTCTTAGATTGATCAGAGGGACAAGCCACTTCTCTACAATCACTGTAAATACAACCTCAAGTTACTTAATATTACTGCTTAAAACCGTAACCCATCCAATATATATATATATATATATATATATGTTAACAGTGACTTGCTGTGATTCAGTCTTTTCAACTGAAACAGACTGCAGTTTTGGTGCTTTAGGTTTTATGATTGCCAGTGCATTTGCAGTACTTGATGACATTTTTCCTAAAATTTATAAATTAATGAGTTGTCAGCATGTCAAACACATTCAGTATGAATGTGTTTGACATGCTGAAATAGTCCAAGCAACAAGTCTCCATGGGATTTTACAGAATGTAGAGTGGACATCAGAGCATAGTGTGGCATAGTATGTGCTCCCCGAATGGATATAGTTGAAGTGCAGTTCTCACTAAGATATAAAAAGTGCATTTGTTTTTGGTTTCTATACTGATACATTATCAGATTGATTTCTATGTGAAACAAACAGTAAGACCAGTAAACAATCAACAGAAAGCTACTGTTCCACATTTTACATTCCCGGTTCTCAAATGAAGATTTATTTTCTCCAAAATATCATTGGGTCTTTAGAGTGTTGGTCGGACATTTCAACATGTAAATATTTTCTAGTTGGTAATTAAAGCCAATAGTCGTCTGGTTGTCGAATGTTTATGATATTAATTTCATTATTATATGATTATGTTAAATGATGATGGTAAAAGCAGTAATGATTCTGAATGTGTCAGAACAACCAGCAAGGAGACTGAACATTTAATTTATTTATTTTAACATAGTATAATCATCTCTCAAATGTCATCACTTCCAACTTCACAAAAACAAATTCTCACAGACTTGTTAATACAATGGATGATCTATAGTGTTACATACAAATCAACTCTCAACAAACTGGCTCCCCTCCCTTCCCCACCTGAACCCGTCGTATGTATTCCTGGTCAGAGCCAGTTCTGTGAGCCCACTCTGACTATGTTACTCATATCGGGCCCGCTTGATTTTTTGAAGTAAAAGTGCGGCGACTAACAGTTTACTTTCTCAGCAGTGTCCCATTCGCCTATTTTTCCTCAAGATAGCAAAGTTTTGACCTAACTAACTAACGTGTAGCAACAAAGTCAAATGCAAAATTCTGGTCTGTATTGAATAGATAAAATGGTATTGAAACACCACTAACATCTCTAATTATTAGTAATTTAACGTTGAAGCCTTAGGGACAGCAGTTAGACTAAAATATAAGTAATTTTAGTCTTAACTTAAAAGTTTTTCACAGATACGCAGTTAGGCAGGCATTTAGGAGTACCTCACTAACATTGCTATATGCAGGGTTTTAGAAATACCAAGGTACAAAAACTGAACTGAACTGAACTAGGGGGAGTTTGAGGCATCAACATAGTTATTTTTGGGCAATTTAGGCAAAGACTTATATTGTCTACCCCTAGGAGAAAATAGGTCCATACCTTGGTGACCTCAGTGGTGGGTACACCAGAGGTGGTGGTACTAAATAAGAAGTAAGGGTACTCATCTGGACAAAAATCAGTCAATCAGTTTTCATCCAAACCCACACTGGATTCCATTTGAAGACTGACCAACATGCAATTATTTTCCAGGGATTACAGTGTCAAGACCTCTAAAATGAGCCTCACAGTTTTGGGTACAGGATGTGAAGAGAAATTCAGAGCTGAGCTGTGTGACCACACAGATCTCCCCCAGTAACCTCTGTGTTATAACTCAGAATACATGTGTATGAATGCTTAGCCCGCTCCAAGGTCATGAAAGGCAACACTCCTCTGAACGCTTGCTGATTTTCTACCATCCCTCGTGAACCTCTCAGTGACTTTTCCACTGGTGTCATGTCACCACCATGAGTCGATGGCAGACAGAAGGTTAGTTACTTAGATTTTGTGGTCATTATCTTAGATGGTGTCTTTCTGACATTTTTATAAATGATAGACGATTACACACATCATTACACACATAAACACATAAACACGCTGAATGGCTCATAAATGCTGCTTATAGCATTACTGGCTGCCTGCCACCACTGTGGGTGTACATCTGCTGACATCACCCCTCAATTTTCACTCCATCCATTCTCACTCTATTACTTCAATTCAATTCAGTTTTATTT